AGACTCTGAAGAAATGTTCAACAGATTTTTCTGCTATATTTGGAGATGCTGATTCCTCTCCCGAGGTAGGAACAATTCAGTATTTTAAACGCCTTTTAACACAAAAATGTTAGTCATTTAACTATCTATCTTCCATTTCACACACATTTTTCAAGTTAGAAATTCTTTAAAGGCACGAAGCTTGTTGGTTTTAAAGATGTATAATGGACATGTCTTATGATACAATGTAGCTTAATGGTTGTAGCAGTGTGCCCTTCTTATTAGAAGGCTGCCTCTTCATGTTTTACTCTCGCAGGATTCAATCCTTGGTCCCTTTGCCAGGCTATCTTCCCCAGAATTTTCTCCCAATGATGCATGATGGCAAACACTCTGCTCCCTATGGAATAGCTTAAAAGTTGTCGAAACACATTGCCATGTATTAAGATCCTATGACAGTTGAAGATAACCTTTTGCATCAGTTAAATTTATGTGATCATACTGCATCATACTGTGATTACGTAAGTTGAATCCGTTGATTTTTCAATGTACCTTAAAAATTTTGATTTAAAAAAGAGCTGAATGAAATTAATTTAACTTAATTGGAATCATAAGTCTGAGATCCTTTTGTCATGCTAAAAATATCTATATCCCTCACATTTCCAAGTTTTGTTTTTAGCCTAATGAAAAGGCTAAAAAGCCAGCCTTTGTGTGCATTTGTAATTTATTTTCTCCTTGCTGCATTGATTTAGGTAATTTAAGTTAGATTGTATTTTAGTTTTCCAGTTAATAACTGTTTTAAGAAGCATATTTTCATGTAAAATATTTGCACAATAATTATTTCTATTAACTTCTTTAGTGGTGAAGCATATTCTGTTGCAATATAAGTATTTCCTATAAAAAGATGAAAACAGATGGCTTCCAGTGTAGAGCAACAAAAGCTGAAATTATTGCTCTCTGCATTAGACAGGGGCAATCCAAAAAGAACGGGAACTGCAGCATGTGATTTTCTTAGATGCAAATGATAATCCACCAATTTTTAGTTAAGTAGTATATGAAGCCGTGGATCCTGAAAACACTCCTGTAGATACAGTAGAAAGTAGCCACAACCAGAGGTGTCAAGTAACCAGGTGCAAATACTTCGTTACCGTACTTAAGTGCACTTTTTAGGTATCTATACTTCACTTCATTACTTATTGTTCCTCCTACTTCTGACTTTTAATCATAAATATAATTATGCTCTAATTTGTAGTTACCAATCTGTTGTGATTATATTTTAATTTGACAAACCGGATCTTCTCGCCGTTCTTTTTCCTGTTTGGTGCAATTGCAATTGTGGATCTTGACCGGGCTTGACCGGAGCAGAGCCCGCACATTTTGAGTATATTTGGCTCAACCTACTGCTGTGAAGCAAGATTTTCCACCATGAACAGAATCAAAAATTAGTATGGATTCAGGCTCACGAATGAGCACCTTGATATGTGCTTGAGAATTGCTTTGTCGCCATTCAAACCCAGGTTTAAAGTCTTGCAGGGCAGCCTAAAGTCAACTGCTCTCATTAAGCCATAAAAAAGAAAAAAAAAACAAACAAACGGTCAGTTCAGGTGTTTTGAAAAATATGTGAATCAGGACATTTTCTATATACCAAACTGAACGATTGTTTTTCTGTACTTCAAAAAACACTTTAGATTTTAAAATTGAAAATTTTTATATATACATTTTTATATATATATCTTTTTGTTTAAAAATGAATTGTATAACATGAATGCATAAACACCTCATTTTATTTCAGCGTTAAATTCTGTTTAAAGTAACAGATCATTAAAAATGTCGCCTGACCTTTACTGGTTGATGATTTTCTTTATTCGGACCCAGCTGATTTTTAATTGGTTACCCCTGGTTTAATGTTTATGAATATTTATTTCATGTCATGTGCAGCATCCAATGCAGATCATTGGTGCCATCCACATCTAGTGAAAACTAGTGTCAGTGGATGAGTCATATAACGCAAACACACAATGGTTTGTTAAAGGAAATCATCAGAAGCAAGCAGGTGTTCTTCAAACTGCAAACGTGAATTGTCTATGCCATGCTACAATGTCGGATTCAGAAAAAGATGTTGAAATGTCTGAAAGAACAGACAAAGGTGAGAGCGTATCGGGAGATGGAGACGGAGACTAACAAGACCTCCCTCATCCTTGGCCCTATCTCAAAGAATTTTTTGAAACAGTCGAAAATTTGAGCTTTCAATTCATACAGTGACATCTGGCTGTTTATTTTAAAGGTTATGTTATACTTTTATACTTTAGGTAGATTTTCGAGCAAATATTTTTTCACTTTTGTAAAAAGGTCAAGTTGATCCTTCAACTTTTACCAGAGTATTTTCAAACTGCGGTATCTATACTTGTACTTCAGTAACAAATGTGTGTACTTTTGACACCACTGGCCACAACTGATAAAGATGAGGGTTTAAATGGAGTGGTTACTTATCTTAAGTCATATATCTAGAAACTGGTAAACAGATTTTTGCGCTAAATCACAAACAGGAGAAATATACGTTATTGGCCCTCTTGATTTTGAGGAAGAGTTTGTGTATGAAATACATATGGATGCTAAATATAGATATGACCTTAGCTCTGATGCTGAACTATCCTGAAATAAACAAAAAATCTTTTGCTATCCCTTTACCTGAAAACATATCACCTGGTGCAGAGGTGGGTATTATTAACGTACAAGACAGAGACACGGAGGATAACCTAAAAGTGAGATGCTCCGATGAGCAAAATGTTCCTTTTAAGTTAGTGCCATCTATCAAAAACTATTATTATCTGGTGATCCATAGGGCAGCTGGACAGTGAACTAGTTTTAATTACAATATCACAATCATTGTCTCCACAAAAACCCACCAGTTTTTGAGGAACAGTCCTATAGCACATATATTACTGAAAATACCAAATCCGGCTTACCTTTTTGCTCAGTTTCTGCTTAAGACCCAGACTGGAGACAAAATGGTACAGTTGTTTATTGCCTGTTAATTGGTGTAGTAAATTGTGTCTTTGCTTCCTCCTACCTATCTCTTAATGGAGACGAAGGGGTGATCTACGCCGTAAGATCATATGACTATGAAAAGTTCAGGAGTTTTAAAGTTAATGTTATGGCCAGAGACAATGGTTCTCCTCCACTTAGATGGAGCAGATGCCATCCCTGGAGTTTATTTCCCTCCTAAATATGCAGATGATGATGCCGCAGGAACTATACAGAGCGTTTTTAATTTTGACACCTACATGATAACAGGATCTAGAACCAGTGTGTTGGAGCTATTTATTCTTTATTTCTTTATCCATTTGAATTGTTTTAATTCCTAAACTTATATATTTTTGTATTATTTACAGACTTTATTTATAGGTTAATTGTTGCATTTTGTGTATTTATTTTTTTGGTTTTATTATTTTTTCTTTATTTATTTTTATGTAAAACAGGAAGAAATGTGGGCTGTCCACTTTCTATAATTGTAGGAGCCTGGTAAGGACCAGCAGGCATTTGGGTTAGGGGCCTATGGGTTTTTAACCAGTGCAAGAGAGGTGATAGAGCAAGGAAAGTTTGAACTCTGTAATGTTGCAAAATATAGAAACATAAATCAACTGAACATCTACAAGTTTGGACTTCAACTTCTTTTGCCTGCGTCAAGAAAACGTGACCCCAGTGCCTATAGTGGCTTATTGTAACTTTATTGGATGTTTAGTTTGACAAACAATTGCCACTACACAGTGATGATTTTAAGTTTATATCATCTTACAATGACAATACACTGCCTGCTGATCAGACTCTGAAGTAAAGTCCATCAGCCGGTCAGACAACGACTCCAATTTAGGCCCTTTTACTGTTATTCATTTTGTTCCTGTTTATCTCAGATTTGTCTAAAATTAGATGTTCTTAAAGAATATCTATGTAGATACTTGATAATGCAAATAAACTGTTTAAAGAATATATTTTCTATGAAACTGGACAGCATTTCATTAAACCAACAGTTCTAATATGTAATCTTTTACCATAACTTTTTTTTAATGGTCATAGTAGAAGAATTATCAACTATTAGTTTTATTTAACTCTGTGCTTTATGACCCATGAGTACTAATTTTTTTTCTATTAGCGTACAATCATCTTACTGAGGAAATCGTAATCTTTATCAGACACTGTAACAAGGCTGTCTATTTCACCTTTCACATCAGTTGATCTACTGTCCTTAAGGGGACAGAAAGCAGTTTGAATAAAAATATTTTTTTCATTTACGACTTCAGAGATGTTTTTTCTTCTTTTTTCTGTTAACTTTAAATCTTTTAAAGGTTCTATATGAGGAATAATTATACATTTGTTTTTACCTAATGGAAAATTTTAATTAGAGGTTTTTATTTTGTAAAAGGTAATGGCTGTAATTGATTCATCATTAAATTGTTATTTATTTATTTGTTTATTTATTATTTAGCACCATTTCGCTTTGGGCTTGATAATTCCGCGTCCGTGTGCCTAACAACGGATGTTTCTGATTATTTGTTTCTTGGCTTAGCATGTAAAACGGGGAACTTCAAATACGTTTTCTTAGTAGTGATTTTATAATAAATTTTTGATTCATTCTTTTAGTGCAGAGTTTAATTGTGGAATGGTTTTGTTTTGTTTTCTTGGTAATTTTCAAAATCAACTCACGGAGTCGCTATTCGCTTGCAGATATAGCTTAGCTCTCCACCCTGTATAAAATCACATTCGTGCTGTAAAACCGAAGCTCCCATTGTTGCAGGAGCTCTGCTGGCCAACATTTTCTAAATATCCAGCTTGTTCGCTGAAAGGAGATTTTCTGACTGTTTCTCTCTTCGGCTGAAACGATGGCCTTCAGCGGACAGTTCTTACTGAAATTTGTCTTCAGTATTATTTTTTACATAAGGGTCTCTGCTGCAGACCTGAGCTATTCCATTCAGGAGGAGATGAGGCCCGGTTCTATTGTTGGAAATATTGCTAAAGACCTNGTTACTAATGTTAAAGGATGGATTTGAAAATATTCGTATTTCTGTCGTGGAGTATCTTCTCATTTTTCCTGCTGGATGTCGCGCATGGAGACATGAGCTATTCTTTACCGGAGGAGATGAAACGAGGATCAGTTATTGGAAATATCGCCAAGGATCTCGGGCTGCAGACAGGAGCGCTGACCACTAGAAGAGCTCGCGTTGACACTGAGAAAAAGGATAAACGTTACTGTAACATAAATCTGAAGAATGGAGAGCTGGTTGTAGCAGAGAGGATTGACCGAGAGGAGCTTTGTGGCGAAAAGGCTTCATGCATTTTAAAACAGGAACTAGTTCTGGAAAACCCTCTAGAACTGCATCGGATCAGCCTTCATGTTCAAGATATTAATGATAACTCTCCGGAGTTCAACGAAGAATTAATTAATCTTGAAATTTCGGAGTCAGCTGATAGGGGAGCTCGCTTTGTGATCGAGGAGGCGCACGACGCGGATGTAGGACAAAATTCAGTTCAGCAGTACAGCCTCGAAAAGAATGAAAATTTCATTCTGGCCGCAAAAGGAAACACTGTGGAGCTTGTTTTAGACAAAGAGCTTGATCGCGAAAAACAGAAGGAAATACATTTGCTCCTTACAGCTTTAGATGGTGGATCTCCTCAGAGATCAGGTACAGTGGTCATACATGTAACTGTGCTGGATGCTAATGATAACGCCCCAGTGTTCAGTCAGGCCGTTTATAAAGCCAGTCTGCCTGAAAACTCTCCTTTAGATACTGTAGTGGTTACAGTGAGCGCAACTGATGCAGATGATGGAGTGAATGGAGACGTGACTTATGATTTTGGGCATGTTACTGACGAAGTTATAAAAACATTTAATATCGATAGTAAAAGTGGAGAAATACGTGTGACTAATTTCGTAGATTATGAGGCGTCAGTCACATATGAAATCCGCGTTAAAGCAAAGGATGGTCTGGGGCTGTCATCTTATGCCAAGGTAATTATTTCTATTACTGATGTGAATGACAACGCCCCTATAGTGAGTCTGAAATCACTGACCAATCCCATACCAGAAGACACCCCAGCTGGTACAGAGGTTGGCATCATTAATGTACAGGATAGAGACTCAGAATATAATGGACAGGTCCACGGCTCCGTCCAACAAAACGTCCCTTTTAAATTAGTTCCTTCGATTAAAAACTATTATTCTCTGGTGACCACAGGAAACCTGGATCGTGAATTAGTGTCTGATTACAATATTACAATTACTGCTACTGATGAGGGCTCTCCACCTCTGTCCTCCTCAGAAACTGTTCAGTTATTTATTGCTGATATTAACGATAACCCACCTGTGTTCAAGGAACAGTCCTATAGCGCGTATATAAATGAAAATAACAAACCTGGCTCCACTTTATGTTCTGTTTCTGCCCAAGACCCAGACTGGAGACAAAACGGTACA